CTCTCTCTCTCTCTCTCTCTCTCTCTCTCTCTCTCTCTTCCTCTCCCTCCCGGGGACTTTCCAGCACGCGCAAACCGCAATCGAGCTTCTTCTGCTTTATTAATGCTAAAATGCAGGAGCAAGCAGTCTCTGAGGGCTCGCGATATTTACTGGTTTTCACGGTATCGTCTTTCGATATTTTCTTTCTCTCCTCTCGAAACAACCTCGGGTCATCCTGTATCGATCCTCTTATCGCGGACGGGTTAAAAATCACATTTAACTTCTTTTTTTTTTGATATCTCAACTCGGCCGGGCACTTAAGTCTGGACAGTTAAATGTATCCCTAATAAGTTTTTAATAATTCGGGAAAAATCTGGAGAAGATACATAAAACTCGTCTCTTCAGAGGATTCGTTCGCAGGGAACATGGCGCATTAACCTTTCATATCAATGTGACGACTTAAGAATTGCAAAGTTAAATAGCCTATTCAATCCTTTTCGAATTTAAATCCGCCTGCCCTTCTCGTTGAACATCTAAAACTGTATTTAAAAGGTCTCCTTTGAATAAAGCTTTAATAATTCCAGAATATTTTTAAGATATAAAAAAGTCATATTTCAAGAGCTATCAAGTTGAAATCAAGTGTAAATTTAATTGCAGTGAGTAAAAGACAAAAGCATACACACAGAAAAATATACTACATTCAAGTGAATATCATTTGTTCCATATATTTCACAAGTTTATATATTCACAATGTCTATCATGAGTTCATCATAAATATATTCAAGATACAAATTTATTCAAGATACATCCTGGATCCTAGCACATTTAAAATTTCAATAAAAAATATTAAATTAAAAAAACAAAGATTCTATTTGTTTATTACATAGAGAGTCGAGCCAACTGTTTCTTTGATAAAGTTTCATAATATCTTTTTAAAAAGAATAGATTTTTCTTTTGAATGCGTGATAATGAGTTCCTCTAAAAATTATGATGAGTATATTTTTAAGACTATTATTAAAAAAATATTCTTTATTGAAGATAATCATTACTTGAAAGGACAGTAAATAAATTAATCGCTTTTTTAGCAGAGTAGAGCGATATTTTTCTGTGTTTATGCAAAAAGACAGAGAAACCTTTCACAATCGCCGTATATAACAAACATTCGAGAAACATTTATAATATTTAACATTTGGTTAGTACTATAGTTAACCTAAATTCTCTGTACGCAATATAACATGCATAATACCTGAGGTTTTCAATATAAGATTTTGAAACTTACGACGGTCGAGTTAGTTTCCTTATCTTTTCATGAAAATACTCGAGATACCCGTGTTACGTGGACGGGGAAGCAGAACAGGATAAAACAGAAGGTATGCATATCGCAACACTCACCAGCAATTCCCAGTCGGCGTCGTTTACCAGAACCAGAATACCCGGCCTCCTAAATAAACAAGACAAACTTCTTAAATCGAGTTACAATTCGCCGCAGCAGGCGAGTTGCGTATTAAAAACTTACGGATCCTGCATTAGCGTACTCCCCCTCAATTACAGAAAGTTAACGAAACGAACGCGGAAGGAACGAAAGGACGCCGCGACTTTTGGCGCAAAACACTCGCAATGACGGACGAGAAACTTCGAATAATATTCACCGCTGATTGGCCAGGCACGCCAACTCGCAAGATTGGTAGATACGATCGATTGATCGACGCAATAATCGCTGCGATCGATTAATATTCATAACTTCGCGTGAGAGTGCGCACTCTCGTTGTATATTTTTCCTTATCTTAGGGCCGGTTGTTTCAACTTCTTGATAACTGATTCCTTCAACTTAGACAAAGATAGACGTATGATTTAACTATCAGTTAATTTACCAAGGAGTTGGAACAACTGGTCCTTACACAGGTTAAGTTTCACTTGACGATCGCGTCAACGCGGAATATCACTCCGTTTCTCTTCAGTGAGAAATAAGATTAGAATGACGCTTATACGGTCAACGTGATCGCCAAGTGGAGTTTACCCATAGTATTTTGAAGCTTTCAATTCGCGATGTCGATCCGCGACTCATCTAAGTATTCTTGAAAAATATCGTATACGATATTTCGATAAAAAGCTATAATATACGTATTATAGCTTTTCATAGAAATATCGTATACGATATTTTTCGAGAATAAGGTCCCTGTTCCCAATATAATTTCTCTTTCACGCACCATTATATCTTGTCGATCGTTCCAGAAATGTTCTCGAGAAATTCTCGTAAACTATTATACGAATGCCGGTTTTGGTCCACGATGTAACGACAGTCGGGAGTTGCTAACGGACCGAGATGTACTTCATAAATCGAGATAGTGATCCTAATTAATACGCTAGTAACACGCAAATGCTGACATCTGTAGCACCACCAGCAAACAACGTGCACAGCGGTCATTTTATTACACGTACCTCGGGTAAGGCCGAGAGCACACAAAAATCGTAAGCAGTATAACTTGAGTAATAAGCAAATTGACCACCAATGAGAATTCTTTTTACGATTCGAAAATAATCGATTGTAACTGGTCAATTTTCTGCTCAAGTTTCACTGCCTACAGTTTTGTGTGTGTCGTGACCCTAAAGATCCATCTACAATAGCCGTCTACAAGAGTATAAGTAAAAAGTAAGAATAAATAAATAAAAAGTAAGAATAAATAAAGAAAAAATAAATTGATCAATCACAGTCGAATGCGAGAAGAATAATCAACTATCCCCTTGTCCACAACCTTGCTTTAATTTCTTACGGCTTAAAGATTAAAGCAAGGTTGTGGACAAGGGAGTAGACGCCCCTTTACTCTTACTTCTTACAGCCATTAAATTCTGTTGCTTAACTCTTGTTCACAACCTTGTCCAATTGACCAACCATAATCGATTATTTTAAAAATAATCAACTGTGATTGGTCAATTTCTTACAGCGTAAGAATTAAAGCAACTCAGATAACATGCATGTCTAAAAGATGTCGAAAAGACACCTAAAAGACAACATATACAACATTTTGTTGCATAAGACGTCTTTTAAATATCTTTTCGACATCTTTTAGACATGCATGTTATCTGGGAAGGTTGTAGACAAGGAGTTAAGTTCCATTTACAATGGAAAATCGTACGTCATAGCAGTAAGAAATTGACCAGTCATACTGGATTTTTACAAGAATAATCGAATGTGACTGGTCAATTTCTTACTGCTACGGCGTACAATTCTCCATTATAGATAGCCCTTTACATTTTTCGCATTTAGAACAAAACAAATGTATATTCGAAGGTTAGAAAAAAAGTAAGAAGATAGAGTGCGAAAAAATACGAACAAACCAATTCTCTTATGACCATTGTAGCGCCAAGAGGATCTTAGCCTTCATATCAAACATACTGTGTAACTCTCCTGCGATATTTTTCTCCAAATATCACGTTATATATATCTAAAAATTCTGCTTAGTTTCAAACGTCGAATTTACTTCACCAAGTGCGACAGTATTGAACTTCCGGCATTAGAGCCATGGCGCACGAAAAAACTTAAGCAGTAAGGAAACTAACCAATCACAATCGACTGTTCTTCGACTGTAGTGAGAATCATCGGCCATGATTGGTCAATCTGCTTACTACTCGAGTTTTTCCATGCGCCGTGGTCTTTACAATGCATCTCGTCAGTGTACGGTGCTGACATCTGCAGAATTACTAATGAACTTGCACACACTACGCCATTTTAGTTTAGATATTTTTCTCGAGGTTGCAAGTTGTGGAGTGTGTTCCATATTTGCAGCAGTGCGCTTGCATTATCGCGAATTCATTAGTATTCATTCGATCGTCAGGGTAACAAGGTTACGCTGAGGTCGACTGAGTGTATGCGAAGGTAATCGCGAGAGCACTTACACCGTATCGCCCTGCATGAAGAGTTCCGGCCGCTCAGTGAGGAGGTTATCTCGCAGCCAGACTAGCAATTGTCCCAAGGTCCCTGTGATATTTCGCATGCCGAATTAGCGGGCGAAAGTAACATCAATTGTACCATACAATTTTGAAAGTGCGGCAAGCAGCATACTCACACTCGACGCCAGGTAAGTCGACCTCGTGCCTCTTCTTCTTGTCGAACAGCAATTCCGCCCCACCCCTGCGAACATTCGACACGGCGATGATTTATCGTACTGCTCACCAAACGCGACCGTATTACTCGGCTCATGTATACTTATGTATCTCATATTTTTCGATCTTACCCGAACTCTATAGTCAGATGAGTTGTCGCGGCCATCGTTGTCGCGCAATCGAACGACGCTGCTGAAGTTGTAATCGAATTGCCGCGCGCACACCACGTTTGTAGTTACTAACAACAATGGTGTTGCCTTCTGCGAAGAGCAGCGCTAGTTGCGTCACTAGTAACCCAAAGTTCTCGCCAAGTGCTTCTGCTCAGGTTATGTTCGCTTCCACGTATTCTCTCCGATATGTCGAGGCTCGATCAGTTGCTAGGAAACGGACAGAGCAAAAAATCTATTTTATAAAACTGTGCAGTCATTGATCGACATTTTCAATTATAATACAATCGTGTATATGACACAGACGCATGGAATGATTAACTAATCAGGGGCTTAAGATAGAAAAGTACAGTATTTTTGCGTATTGTATACGTGATTGATTTCTTGATGCATGTGCTTTATGTTCAGGCCGCATTCTTTGCTTCAATAACGTAAGAGAGAACAAAGAAAAAAAAATACAACGACGCGCTACAAATTTTCAATTGTATACGCTAACGCGGGATCGATTGTTGCAATAAAACAAAACTAAACAACCCGTGGACGCGTGTGTGTGTGCACGCGCGCGCGCTTTCCAACAATTGCGAGGCACATGCGCATAAGTGACGTTAATCTCGGCATTCGCGACTGTGTATTTGTACGTAACGTAAGAGAAAAGAATAATCTTGCAGATTAATATGCAATACTATCGAAGTAATGCTTCTTGCAGTTTAACTTACGTTTATCGACGTATAAACCGATGCAGGCAGCTTCACGAGTGAAACAAGTAGTCACACTGTGTTCCGCGTCGTGTGTACGGTCCTGCGACGTGCAGGTCATTAATCTCGCGATGATTGGAGCTCGGTGTTGAAAGAGACTCGGAGAGACGCGCGCGATCAGTCGTTCGGTTATTGATTCGCATTATCGAAAGAGAACGCGGACTGTTCGCGGCGATGTAAAGCGAGAAACGAAATTGTGCGCGACAATATCGAATATGCGAAAGGCCTAGCTCTCGCGAGCATCACCGTAATGGCGGCTAGTCAAAAGGTGTTTTCCAACACACGCCACGTACATTCGCCGGGCCGGTGAATGCTCGGGATACACCTGAAGTAAATTGTTGCGGCACTTTAGCCACGACTCACGCTCACGCTCGTCGGCATTCCCGACAATAATCGGCCGTTTTTTCACCCCGCACGTAGCTTTCCACGATGTCGGAGAACAGCGAGCATTCGCCCGACGACACCGAGGCGGAGACAAAGGCGACAGAGGATGTACCGAACGATTCGTCCAAGAGCGAAACGAAACTGATGATGGACCGGACAGACGCGGCGTTGCTCGAGGATGAGGAGATGCCGACGTATATGAGCGTATCCAGCATCTCCAGACGCGACGATTCGTCGGAGGTCGTGAACACGAAGCAGCCGGGAATCGCGCCCATGCAGGAAGAACGAAGTCCGAGTCCTTATACTGTGATGATCAGTGATGATCAAGCGGCAAGCAGCGTATATGTTCTGTCATCTGGAGAGGAAACTGATCACCTTCCTTACAATGATGAAGATGATGAAGACGAGTATGGGGACAGTGATGGTAAGTCAATAACAGAGTATCCACACAGTGGCAAAATTGAAACAATTTATTGATAAAACAATTTTGATTAAACAATCAGTATTATCTGTATCTTTGAGAGAGATATCAGTATATATATAACTTTTGTACATATTAGGTTTATAAAATAATCATTTTATATTATAGATATGGAAAATTTGGAGCTTGATAATGATTCAGATCGTAGCCATCCAAATAGCTTGAAGCATATATTAGATGAGGAAGATGATGATGATGATGATGATGATGAGGAAGAGGACGAGGAGGAGGATGAGGATGAGGAGAATCTTAGACAAATACATGAAGATGAAGTATATGATGATTATTATGACAGAGTATCTGCTGATATTATTTTAAACAAAGAATTTAAAAAACGTGACAAAGAAAAGAGTTCTTCTCTTCAAGATCTAAGCAAGTATGATTTATACAAGAAGAGACATGCAGCTTGGGGAAAAAATAATTTAAACATTCCACAAAACATTACGATGTTTCCCATGGTACGCAGGAAGCAACCATTACAACCAAAATATCACCATGTGAAAAGCAAGGTCAAGCTTTACATACAAGATATAAAGGATCGAAATAGACGTTCCTTGGAAAAGCATATAAAAGAGAGTGAAGATGCGATTCACGGTAAAAGTAATGATGAACGTAAAGATAATGATATAGAAGAGACAAAGCCTACAAATAGAACAATAAAGAGTTATGCTGTGAAAACGATTAAGGAGTTAGAAATTGCAGATGCATATGAGAAGGATAAAGTAACTTGCAATACTTCATCAATAATGTTAAATGGTCAAGATAATAAGAAGAACGAGTTAAAATCAATACAAGAGGAAGATTTAGATAAACAAGTTGAAATTCAAATAAATGTACCCTTTGCACAGGATATAAAGGATAATGTAAACTCTGATGATAAGAAACAAAATGGAATAGCTAAAGTTGATTTCACTCAAGGAGAAACTCGACAATTTGGTGTTACTATACAACCATCTCTTGTTCAAAATGGTCATCAAGGATCACCAGTACTTTCCAATATACAAACTTTGAGTTATGAAGAATATATGCGTGGTGCCTCAAAATCTAGTCAGAAAACCGATTTAAATCAAAATGCACAAGTTATGGAGCAGGAGTTTACTGAGTCTGAAACTTATAATGATGCAGAACCAATGGATATGTCTAATGTAGACGATAATGATGGAATATGCCCCATAAGGATCGAAGATATTAAACACATTAATATAATGGAAAACGAAGAAAAAAATAAGGACAAGAAAGCAGCCTTTGATAAAGCAAACGAAGCATTCAATAAAACAACTTTAGATACTTCAGAAGTTATTGCATTGAAAGATCAATTAAATCAGAAAACTGTACAATATAACAACTTGCATGACATATATCAAAAACAACTTGTAGAATATCTAAAAATGAAACAAGAGGTAGAGGAATTGAGAAAATTGTTAACAGAATATGAAAAGAAAAATAAACCTCCGATACAAAAAGTCGCTTGCATCCAAACAGACTTTGTTACTGTAACGAAAGAACAAACTTTGCCAGTCAAAGTAACTGATGAAGATTGCAATCAGGCGCAGTCTATAGATATAAAGAAGCATAATAAAGTATCAGGTAGCAGCGTTGCTTCAACACTTAGTTCTATCGAGCAGTGGACTGATAGTGCGTGTAATTTGTCAGTATCAATGAAACCACCAGAGGCATCAAAAACATTACATTCTGATGACAGTATAATGTTAACTGATGACACACCAAGAAAAAATACACGTACACTATCACATGCATTTATAACTTCATCCCGAATTTTACAAACTCTTTCAAGTATTACACAGGGAAAAACAAAACCAGAAAGTCCTCTGGTACAAAATTCGAAGAAGAGGTTAAATGAGAGTACAGTGATGGAATTGCAGAATGATGATGGCAGCTATCAGGGTCAATCTTCCAGTTCCAAAAAGAGGAAAATCTCTGATATTCTTGGACCACCTGGCTTTTTACAAAATTGCAAGACTTCCCAAAGTTCTGTAGAATCAAAGTTATATGAGACGTCTAATGCGGAGCACAAATTTAAGTATCCATATAATTCGATAAACGAGAGATCGGAATCACAAGAAAATTCATGTAATATTAATACAAACCAGTTAAGAACTGCAACACCTGTAGAAAGCAAAACCGAAAATGCTAATGATCCAGAAGATAATGTAAAATTCTTTGTTTATCACGAGAATGAAAATAGTGCAGAACGTAGTTTTCTAATTCAAGCAGAAGAGCCTACAAAAGACAAGATTGTTAGTGAAAAAACACGCACGCGAGAATGTGGTCCATTTTTACTTGGTAACGTAGAAATAAGAATGTCTGAAATAAATGGGACCATCAACATTTGGGGCAAAGAGGTAAGTTATTTTTGTAAGTGAATTATGAGATAAGATATGTTTTCTTTAAATTATAGTATTTAAATTGTATTTTTTCAGATTAATGACGAATCTATGATTGAGAATGACAATGAAATGGAAACATCTACTAAAGGAAAAACTGATAAGAAGTGCTGGCAAAAGACAAGATTCAACGGCAGTAATATAGTGTGTTCATCAAGTAAGAAATCAAAAGTACCAGCTAAATTGGAGATGAGTTCAGCTACATCTAATATTTCATGTCCACACTCAATGTCATTTAATAATACGCCCAAGCCACACTGTTCGATAGACAAAGTAGATGCGGATAGAGCGTGTAGTCCAAGTGTGTGCGTTCCCACTTGCGAAGATTGTGATTCCTCAAAACATAAAGAATGGCTGAAATACAAGCGAATACATCCTGAAGAAAAGTCACATTCCTGCTGTGCTCACAATATAGAAACATTAGGACAAAAGTGCAGTTGCTTTTCGCACAAAGAAAAGCAGAAGTCTGAAGACTGTTGTAACTGTAGCAAAGATAAACACAGCGTCAAGGAACATCGTCAGAGTTTTTCAAACAATTCAACGCCTAATAAGCATTCACATGAAAATTTCAATCCTGCCACAGAGCACAATGAACTTGCATGCGGGTATCATGCGGCATGTCATCATTCACTACATGATACAAGAGAAAATTGTCTACAGGACCATAAACGTTGTAATACATCGATGGGTGCTTCCTCATGCGACCAATTAAAACTAACTACAGATGAAGAATGTATTGGAACATGTCATTATCATTCTTCTAACTTAAATGAAGAAGAACCATTAATAACACATAAACAATTTAACGAGACCCCAGAGGTAAGTTATAAGGAAATTGACTGATACATCTCATAAGAATTCGCGCGATCATAACTGTATTTATTAATTTCATGTGTTGTCCTCAGACACGACGACGTAGATTAAGTGGAAAAAGAGTACGAAATATTTTAATGGACTTTTTGCGAGGTTGCGGAGATTGCTACAATCCGAACACACCTAGTACTAGTAAAAGTTGTTCACACAAGAAGGAGGTACCTTCAACGAGTTGTTCTCCCCAAATCAAAATTTCGCCATGTGTATCTGCCGAACCGTCATGTTCGAATCCAGGGCAATCTGATGGAAGGTACGCTTTTACATATTTTTTCGAGTATTCTTTTCGACTTGTATATAATATAGGCTGCATTCGCTTTTGGACAGTCACGCGCTGAAAGCGTCATTTTATCTTTGCTGTTTATTATACGTCGAAGATAGAATTTAAACGCTTTCAGCGCATGAGCGTCCAAAGCGAACGCGGCCATAGTTGACCCGGAATTGACGAAATGTATACACATGCATAAATGTAACATTATTACTCGTAACAATTTTATATTGTTAATTATATTGTTGCACGTTGTTGGTAGAACAACGATAACATCACGAAAATTGCATACCTTCATAAGAATTAATATTTATATTTGAGATTATGGCAAATTCAAAATTAAGATTATTAAATTTTCGGTCGCAGATGCTGTCATGCTTACGCACAGCGAATTGAATGTCAGCTGGAAGAATTTCGAATGGAAATGGAAAAGGTGCGATCGCGCTCGGATGCTATTCTTAACATGCTCAATATGCTTCATTCTGTGGACACGAACTAACGGAATTCATCTAAATGTTAATTATATATATACCTACTGCATATGTACATATATCATATTCTTGTTTTAATTTCTCTTTTTCGATAAACTCTTGCGTTGCTATCATAAACGAAGTTCTCCAATTTCTTTGCATATAAAAATCATACATAGTCGATTTATTAAATAAAATATACATATAATAAAACACAAATGTTTACATTGCATTTAATATATGCATATCCAATAGCCATAAATGTCGATTTTCTTTTATTTTTTTCTGTTCTGTTTTTGCTCTTAGCACGTTCGTTATCGCGGTTGGGAGAGGAGCATCCTTTCTTTTAGATCATTCTGTATTTTATTTGTGTAATTTTATGACACAGATGATGATTTATTTATGTTCATAAAAAGAAAAAAATGATCGGTGTCACACATATGTGATGTGTTGACCTCTTATAAAATTAGTCACACGCATATGTAATGCTGATAGCGAACGTGTTAATGTATTGATAAGTAGGATTTAAACAATGCCTTTATAAGTTCCTTTTCTGTTTTTTTTATATATTATTTATAGTTTATATATATTTATAAAGGAAATGACAGCATATGTAAATTATTTTTACAAAATAACTTTGTCAAATTGCGTTAGTAGTCAGTGTACTATTATTTGAGATAAAAATATGTGCGATGTTACGTGGCGTATTCGTCACAATTTCATTATGCTGAAGTAAAGTATAGTGTATTATTATAATAAAAAGCGTGAAACGTTTAATAGTTGCAGTCGCAGGAATCATATCCTAAGCCTGGAGCATCTCCCGCAGGAATACTGGTCGGTGTCTTCTCTCGTTGGTCGATTAACATGTTACTGTAAGAGGTCTTGAGATAGTTCACATGACCTTGCAGAGATCTTATGCGTCGTTGCGCTTGTTCAAAGGCCTCGTTCAAGTTATTTATTTGACCCTGCATTTTTTGTCTAATCTGCGTAAACGTTAACGGGAAACATACTATAAGTACATGTTCTTTCTATTAAGAATAAGTGAAATGTTTTATGCCAAACTTTTTAAAAGTTACTTCGTCTCTGTCTCGCTGTGCGGCCCGCGCCGTTGCTCTACATTGTGCCAATTCTCTCTCCATTTCAGCGATCTGACGCTGCATCGAGCATCGCATATTTTCGCATCGGTCTTTCGTTCTCGCTACTTGTCGAGCAGATTCCTCTCTTACCTTAAAAGAAAAGAAAAAGATGTCAATGTCCTCCTAAAGAAACCCTTTTTACACATGAAACCGAGTCGTACTTGATCCAATTGTGACAACAACTGCGCGTTCTCATGCATTTTCTCATCCATGCGTTTTTGAAGCTGCGCCTTTTGTTCCTCGAGTCGTGTCAGTGTGTTTTTCATTCTCTCGTTTTCGTTACGCAGTTCGCCACACTTTTTTTCTATCTCTTCGAATCGACCGGTTCCTTGTCCTCTTTCGTCCTACAAAGCGATTCATAATAATGTACCATTTTCCACTGAGTTAACGAAGTTAAGATAGCAAGTTACAACCAGAAGTGTCTGATACTGAGCACGCAACACTTCCACTTCATTTTGCTGAATCTGAAGTTTATCTTTGTATCCTTGCAATTCCCGCGACAAATCTTCACAATTGCGTTCGGCGATTAACCGTATTTGCTGCGTCTCTTGTAACTTCGTTTGCGATTGTTTTAAGATTTCGGGCAGTGGCGCAAGCTCGGCTAATTTTTCTTGGAATTGATTCTGAGTGTATTGTATCAACGTTATATATGTATGTAATATGAAAATGACTGTACGGAAATTTATATTAATCCTCTAAGAATATTATAATTTCATAAATGACTCGACAAACAGGCCGTAATAAATAATATAATACTTTAACACGTCCGATTTCCAAAGTAACATTTTCGTTCATTCGCGCGTTATCCATTTCCATAAGATCCATTTGCCTTCGTTGTTCTTCAACGTATTGCTGGGCCTAAATTATATGAATTTCTCAATTTTATAATTGTTTGCACATATAGAAAAATAAATGGATTAAACGTAATTTTTGGTCTCAATAAAAACAAGAACAACAACCGACTTGCAAATATTTATTGCGATAATCCTCCAGTTGAACGGATAGATCTTGAGTAGTAGAGCGAAATTCCTCTAGCTCATCTTGCGTTTCTCTCACTCGTTGTTTCGCCACTATTAAAGCCTGTTCCTGTTCGACGAGTTGTTCTTTATGACCTGTGTATATTTAGAAAGTAATTATATATATATATATATATATATATATAT